AATTGAAATAACTTTTTGTTTATTTCACGTGTTTGATAGTAATCCTAGCTTAATTTCTTAACCTTTATGTATAGGAGCATTTATAAATTACTATGTAGAGTGGTTTGAAAACATATCCTTCTTTTCTTTTTTCTTTTTTCTTTTTTTGTTATAACCCATGCTCGCCGGCAGAGTTAGAGTCTAGCCAGCCTTGAATTGAATAGGTTTTCTATATTACCACTGACATATAGCCACCATAATATTTTTCCTTCACCCTTTCTATAAATTTCTGAATTTAGCGAAAAATTATTTATATTTAATGGATAGCATATTATGATTATCTTTTTTTCATATCTGATTTACCTATTTTTTTAAAACACCGTTAAATCAAAATGACATAGAAGAGAAAAGGTAAAAGACAATCAAGATTGTAATATAATAGTATTAGAAACGAATAGATAAAATAAATATGAAAAATATAGACATAACCTCCTATCTCTATATGAAATTTATTAAAGTTGAAATTTTGAATAACTTTATATTTTTTTTCATCAATAATATCCACGCGAATCTATGTCAAGAGTATCTGTTAAATAAAACTTCTTTTAAAGTGATTAATAAGTTTAGGATATAATTTTAGTTTTTAATAACTATAATTGTTGAGCCAATATTTACTTCCCCAATTCCTTAATATTTCGATTGTTATTCTAGTATAAATTCAAAAAGCTTAATTCAGGATGGTAAGTCTAATTAAACAGATAAAAATGCATTCATATATATAGAGATGATATGCATAGAAATTAGATAGCTTTCTCGTGAAGTAAGGTCGGCCTGTTTAACTTTTCTCATATAAGTTCTAATTGCCAACTTCAGACAGCTTAATCAAAAGATGCTAATTCCTAAATAGACCTTTCCAATGGTTTTCAACTTCTCACCGTCTATGAAGTTACCAAATAATAGAATGTACTTACTTGGACGGGTAAAACTCTCAATCTTCATATAAAATGTCATAATGAATATTATAACTTTTATTTTAAAAAATATCATAAGACGGATGGTCAAACTAAGCATCAACTATCATATGATTACTAAACTAAGCATGACTTTTGATCAGGTTTATAATATAGGATTCGTTTTTTTTTTTTTTTTTTTTTGCAGTAAGCCCATTAAAGTTTTATGGTGGGTCTTGGAGAAGAAAAAGGTTCCATTAAAGTATGTAAAGGCAATCAAGGATATGTATGATGGGGTTACTGCATGTGTAAAAGCTTGTAACGGATCATCAAGTTATTTTTCTATCACGCTAGGTGTACACCAAGGGTCGGCTCTAAGTCCTTACCTCTTTGCCTTAGTTATGGATGAACTAACAAAAGATATTCAAGAGGAAGTGCCATGGTGTATGCTTTTTGCAGACGATATTGTGCTTATTGATGAGAGCAAGGAGGGTGTTAATAGAAAACTTGAATTGTGGAGAAGCACATTGGAATCCAGAGGGTTCACATTAAGTCGAAGCAAGACTGAGTATCTGAAGTGTGAGTTTTCTCTGGTACGAGGACCAAGAACCTGTGCATCTAAATGGTCAAGAGGTACCCAAAAAAGATGCTTTTAAATACTTGGGCTCCATTTTACAAAACGGTGGAGAGATTGATGAGGATGTAACTCACAGAATCAGAGCAGGGTGGATGAAATGGCGCAGTGCATCTGCATTTTTGTGTGACCGCAAAATCCCCCTGAAGTTAAAAGAAAAATTCTATAAAACGGCAGTAAGACCGGCAATGCTATATGGAGCAGAATGCTGGCCAGCACATAGGCAACATGAGCATAAGATGAGAGTAGCAGAGATGAGGATGTTAAGGTGGATGTGTGGTTACACAAGGATGGATAAGATAAGAAATGAAGATATTCGACGAAAGGTCGGAGTAGTACCGGTAGCCGAGAAGATAAGAGAACATAGATTGAGGTGGTTTGGGCACGTGATGAGAAGACCCATGGATGCTCCTGTAAGAACAGAAGTTTGTTACCAAGAGCTCAACACAAAAAGAGGCAGAGGTAGGCCGAAGCTTACTTGGGGGAAAGTAGTAAAACAAGATTTAATGGAGTGGGATATAGATTGGCGGACAGTATGTCTTAGAACGGAATGGAGAAAAGCTATAAGTATGGTGGAGGGTTAGACCCGCTGTTATTCCTATGTTCCAGATGGTCCCTTTTTAGTCCTTTTTCCCTTCATTTCCCCCACTTCTTCTTGTCCCTTTCTTTTTTACTTTTATTTATTTATATATACATATATTGTTATTTTATTTTATCTTATTTTATATTTTTATTTTATTTGTTTATTTTTATTTATTTATTTTTGGCTTTTTTACTTTTTTACTTTTTTTTATTTTTTTTAACCGTTTTGTATCTTTCATGTGGGTTCATCTACCACCGACCCCAATTAATTTGGGATAAAGGTGTTGTTGATGTTGATGTTGATTTTGCAGTAAGCCCAATACGACGTCGTTTTGGGCGGAAATCATGGTGTTTTTGTAATTTTAATTTATTTTAGAATTATAATAGTCTTTATATTTACGTTTTTTTAAGATTCCAACACAAAAACGACGTCGCTTTGGGAGTAAATACAGATAACTTATCTGCAGTAACTGCAGAAATAATTTTTTGTATAATATAACTAGCATAGCATCACAATTTACAATAATCATTTCTCTTGTTTCTCCTTGTCAACTTTTTTTCTTTTTCTTCTGCTGTTTTTAATTTTCTCTGTAATCCAAAAAAAAAAAAAAAAAACTTTTTTCTTTTTCTTTTTGGATAGTATTAAATTATATTCTCAATTTTGGTAATTGACTTTATTTATATTTACTATATTTAATTTATTAATTATGTGAGTCTTTAGATACAAGTAGATCAATAATTAAAATTTGAAATTGAGCTTTTTGATCTTGCCCATTTCTTTTTTATTACTAACCAGTAGGGGTGTAAATGGGCTGGGCTGGGTTTTGGCCTTCCTGGCCCAAGCTTACGTAAAAAAAATTTCAGCCTATCTGGCCTACTGACCTATTAAAGGCTTTATTTGTAGGCCAAGTCTGGCCTATTTTTAAAAATAATAAAGCCTGACATGGCCTACAGGTCTTGTAGGCCTACCGCTGTAGATACTAAGCAAAGAAAAAAATTGTATAGAGCAAAGAAAATTCCATTCATGCATGCACTAGTACTTCTCATAAGAAAAAAATAACAAACAAGAAAGAGTCAACATAATACCTCAGCTCTAGAATGTATATCATAGAGGAATAGAGTCAAAGAAATAGAGAAAATAAGAAAAATACAATTATTGGGTGCTGAAATAAAGTCTACAAGAGAAATTACATAGGTACTGCTGGTATTGGTACTTTGTCATGCCACATAAAATAAATATTATTTTATTATTTTATTTTTAATAAATTAAATAAGCCAGCCTACAAGGCTTTGGGCCAGGCTTGACAAAATTGGCCTACAGCCTATTTGTTTAAAAGGCTTTCTTAAAAGCCTAAGTCTACTCTACTTTTCTAAAAGGTCGGGCTAAACCAGGCTTAATGTAGGCTGGACCGGACCAGCCTAGCCCATTTACACCCCTACTAACCAGTCATTTCACTATAATTCTCCAGTGAGTTGATAAGGCACTCATAAAGAAATATTTTTAGGAAAAGTTATATTTACCATCATTTTAGTCTTATCACTCTTATTATATGTTTAGTTATTATTTGATTAATTTAAAATCAATAGTGCATAATTAATTTTTTTTCTTTTTCAACCATGGATTTCAAAGTAATCTAACAGAATTCAAACAAGTATTAAGAGTAATAAGTCTAAAATGGTAATAAATATAATTGTCGCATATTTTACATCTAAAATAGATTTGCTTGTATATGATTTAACATGATCAATGTGAGAGTGCCTTAATTGTTTATAGACGAATCAATGTTAATTAAAAATGTACGAGAAAAAATATTAGAATAAAAATTGATAAAAAGATAACCATTATTTATCTATAGACGGTTGAGATCGTCTCACATAATATGATAATATTAAATCGCACATAAAGAATTCATTCCTAAAAAATAAATTTATTTTAAACGCACATCGGTTGAATTAAGTACTAAAGTTGATTCATCGGTAATATAAAAACTAAATATATTATGTGATACGTGATGCCGTCTATTTTAAAAAAAGGCTAAATGTTTTTATTATAAGTAAAAAAACATTATATATTATAATGATGTATACTTATTTGCCATATTTTAATAATGTGTCATTTTCTTGTTTATTGATAGCGTAAAAAGTTTAAAGTTGACAATGATCAATTTCAAACTCTTAAACTAATAATTAATCACTAAGTTGAACTTATATAAATTTCAATTATGAATAAATTTTATGATGTCACCGTATATTGACATCCGTGTGCCCAAACACATCATACTACGACCTCACTAATCCATTGTTATTCATGTGAGCTAAATATAAAAAATTATTCTTGTCATAAAACAAGAACATTTTATTTGGTTCAATCAAAATAATATCTCACATAAAATGAGGATATCTTTTTAGAGAAAAATGTTTATCCTTTTAAATGACATAACTTATGTCATTTCATTCTCATAAAAAGGTGAGATTTAGTAAGATGCTACCTTTATTTTATTTTTTGTCCACTCTCTCCTCCCATGATCTATTTCTTTCTCTCATTTAAAATTACGCAACTTTACGTCCTTTAAAATGACACACACTTTTCTCATCTTTTAATTTATTTTTTTGCTTTAGGTCACAATAATTAAATTAGAAGATGGCAAGTAAAATGCAATTTTCCCAAAAAAAAGAGTGGTGGGTCAAGCATTTCAAGCCCATGGGGTACCCCACCCAAATCATTCACACATGATTTCAAAATTGTTGCAAAAAAGAGGTGAATCCAACCAAGCCCATTCCAATTCCATATCAATTTTAACACTCATGAGTCATGAGTCATGATATTATAGCCCACGTTTCAAGGGTTCTATCTCAAAACGTGTCCTTGTGCTTTTATGATGTTGGCGTGTATGTATATGAGTTATGACCCTCTTCTCCTTATGTAAGTGTTAATAAAACATTGCTGATTTCATTTGATGATAATAAAGCAGTGAATGATGACTCTTCTTTGTCCTCTATGCTTCTTCTCATACTCTCTCTTCAACCCTTTCAAGCCGGCATAGAACCCAATTTCACCCTCTGAATTTTTGTTTTGGCTCTTTGTTCAACACTTTTTATTGGATCATCAGATATTAGATTCCACCTCTGAAATTTTCTTGCACAAAAAAAAATAGGGAAAAAAAATTGCTCCTTTTGTGAATTTTGATTCATCTGGGCACCGACAAAATTCGATCTTTTGTGTCTGGATCACTTCAAAGTTCTTATCTTTTTAATTTTAACGAGGTGGGTCGATCCGATTTCGGTGTAATATTGGTGGGTTTGATCTGAAAATTGGATATTTTGAATTCAAAGATTTTTGTGTTTTTTTTTTTCTGTGTGTGTTTTGAAATGGTCTATTTCCATAGCTCAATCTCTCTCTGCAAATCCGTTGACCAAACTTCTGCCATGGCTAATTCAATTTGTTCTGCGGATTTTGGTTCGAAACCGAGGCAAAGCAATCAGCTTCAGAGGAATCGGAGGACGCCCAGTTCATCAAATTCCCTTCAGATTCCACCCTGCGATCGATCTCGATTTGCTGTGGTTGATGTGGTGATATTCATTGCTGTTGTTTGCGCTTGTGGGTTCTTGTTCTTCCCTTACATCGAGCTTATGATCACTAAGTCCATTCAGATTGGAAGGGTGTTCTTGTGTTTGGTGAAGGAAGAGGTTTCTGTTGCACCTTCGATCTACATCTCCATAGGTATCAGTGTTGTGTGTGCTGCATTGGCTACATGGGGTGTTGTGGCTTGCACAACTAGGAAGTGTGGGAATCCCAATTGCAAGGGTCTCAAAAAAGCTGCTGAGTTTGACATTCAGTTGGAGACTGAGGATTGTGTGAAGAACTCACCTTCATTGGCTAAGGATGGTGTTAATAAGAAGGGTCTCTTTGAACTCCCTCGTGATCATCATAGGGAACTTGAAGCTGAACTCAAGAAGATGGCACCACCCAATGGAAGAGCTGTTCTTGTGCTCCGAGCAAGGTGTGGCTGTTCTGTTGGTAGGTTAGAAGTTCCGGGACCTAAGAAGCAACGAAAGATCAAGAAGTAGGATACAGGAGAGGGACACCCTTTTGATTTATAGGCAGGAACATGACTGAAGGGGAAGGAAGGAAGGAATGATAATTGAATCAATACAGAATGTGTACTAGTCATTATGGCAAAAGGAATGATTTCCTTATTAGGAACTAGGATGTCTTTAAATAAGCCCCTTGGCAATAAGTTGTAAGGAACTATTGGTTATACACAGTTAGGTGGTGGTTATACCTGGGAATATAAGAAACGTTTATTTCAATTTACATATATCTAGTATATTCAAGATTTTTAGTTCTTAAAAAGTTTCTGCTTCAGGTTTCTGAATTCTGTTGTTTCTCATGGTTATTGGCTTATTGTCATGTCATATTTTTGTGATAATTGCCTAGAATTTAAGTTCTCAATCTTGGTATAAGCTGCAGGTTACAATAGAGTATGTTTTGTTGTTCTGGTCTTGTGAATGTGAACATAAATCTGAACCTTGTGGACTTTGTTTCAGCTTTCAAGCTTGAAAAAGTCATTTAAAACTTACATTTTCACCAAAGCTTACTATTTTGTTTTTTCGTGACTTGATTCTATTGTTAAACAATTATGCCAACTTTCTCCTTTTTCATTGCCTGGGTTGTCATTGTAGGCAGACTCTTCTAGGAGATGTTAACCATGGGGTGCATTGCTCTAGTACAGGACATCTTTTTATACAGGTATACGCAAATTCTGGTTTTTTATTTGAATTCTTTTGTGTGAAAATTGAATTCTCTTATGGAGAGAACAATTGGATCTTAACTTTGAGTATTATCTTCTTTTTATTGATGTCTTCTTCTTTAGTTTGTTGTATTGCATATCTTGTGCGTGTTTATTGGTCTTTTATTTACTCTGTCGCTTATAAAGTGTTGTACTTATTATACATCTTGTTATCTATCTGTTCAAATAAATACAACAAAACGATTTTGGGCCGACCTTTTCTTTTCTTTTTCCTTCCTCTCTACTCTGTTTCTCCCTATGAAATCCATCTTGTTTATATTTCTATCTGTTACCATAGCCTTTCTAGCTGCTGCTGGAACTTGCTTAGATTGATTTGGCTTCAAATTTTTGTCAGCTTCATTGTAATTTTGTTTTTAATGTACACAAGGTGTATGCAAATAAAATTTTAATTTTGATGTCCAAACCCATCTGTTTCTTGCACGCAGATGTGTTAAAATATTATCTAGACGTGTGAATAGATTGACCTTAAAACAACATTACCTTGAATTCTTTCATTTGCAACAACCTAAAATAAAGGTATTGCACAAGTGGATCTCTTGCACCATTTATGGGTAACTGGAGAGAGAACATGCAGTTCTCATATGGAATGATGACCTTATTTGAACAGCATGTTTGGTGAGATCTTGATGTTAATTTATAACCCATTGAATGCAAGGATAAAACTGTATACAAGGTTTTCCCTCACAAGTCGAGGTTTCGTGGGGAGTATTTTTTTTTTTTTCTTTTTTGAGCTAACTACTGATTTCTACAATTTTCATTTTTGTGTCTGTATTTATGTTTCATGATAATCTGAACATACTTGATTGTTCATTGCCAATTTTACTCTAAATCTGTCTCACTTGTAGAAATCATCAGATTGCAAAGGAACCATTTTGTGTCAATTGCAGTACTTAGTCTGTAACTTGGTTGAATAATCTTACCTTCTTTATTAAAGTTATTTCACGAAAAATCTTCTGCAATATCCTCCTGTTTCTCAATTGCACTGTGTAGATATCCTCCGTTATTCTGCAAATAACTTGAGCATTTTAGGTGAATGAGGAAAAATCCCATATAGTGAGCACTACTGAGGTTATGTATATCAGAAAGGGTACTAATTCATGATCTGTTTTAGTGGTGAGTTCTCAATTTTTCTTTCTAAAAGATAACATAGAAGTCAAATCTCTCATGTCAAATTTGTTGATCTCCATTAGCATAAACTCTTAGCACTCGGAACATCAAACAACTGAACAACTAGGCCTTCTTGTAGCCATTTCAATTTTGAGAAAGTCAAGATGGACCAGTCCATCTTAGATTAATATCGTGGATTCTTACCAATGTCATTTGTCCTTATAATTCCCACATATATTGGACAGACATCCTGTTGCATGGTACTATTTGCTGAGATTGCTGAATTGAAGTAATCTAGAATAGCAAAACCTTATATGAAATTCTCAATTGATTAGGTGTTACCTAACCTGCCACTTTATTCGATTCTTCCTCCTGTGTGCTAATCCATGGCTTTGAAGACCAAAAGGTTCTCCTAACACTACCATAAGGCTTTGACCTTTCATTTTTCCTCAGAAAGAATCTGCCCCATGTTGTAATAAAGGGTTATGGAATGAATGTTTTAATGATCAATATTGATGAGTATACCAAGCTCTTTAGGTAATCTCAAATGACCCTTTTGTTATTTTGTTCTAAGGTTCAGTGGATGTCCTTTAAAAGAACACAGGTTGTGTCCTTTTAGTGACTTATGTAAAGTCTGACCAGTAAGACTTTGTGTAAATCTGAAAAATTATTTTTTTTTCACTTTACATATCAGCAATGTGACTGGAGATAGAGAAAAAAAGTAATTTTTAGATTTACACAAAATTTTACCGGTCAGACTGTGTGTAAATTACCTAAAAAGACACAAACTTATATCCTTTGAAAGGATACAAATTTTCCCTTTGTTCTAATAAGTTTATTTGAATCTATGAACTTTTGCCTTATAGCATAGTTATCTTTTACTGCTGGCATTCTATGTGTTGAGGGGAATAGTACCATAAACTAAGGATTATCTCTAAGATTTTTCTTTTCTTTTCTTTTGTACCCAAAATATGAAAATAATAAGCTAACTGAATGACTTATATAAAGTAATGTAGTGCAAGTAAAATATACCATTACAGGTAGTGGAAAAAAATCCTTTACACTTGGTAGTTATGTATCCTTTTCCAGCGTAACAGCCGAAACAACTTTAAATGCGTTAGGGAAATGGGCATATAGAGAAAAATGACATATTCTCTTTTTTGGTTGCAAAAATGAATTTTAAGCTTTTCTTTCAGATTTCAGATTCTGTGCGTGTTTGAATTCTTCTTTTTATAAGCAGAAGTTAGGCTAAGTTTTTTTTTTTTAATTTTAATTTAAAAATAATTTTTAGCTTAAAAAAAGATGATTCAAACAGGCTTTTTTTTATTGTAACTAATAACTGCATGTATCTTACTAATTTGATATTGATAATGATAATTCATTTAGACATAATAAAGTTTAGAGAGAAAAATAAATGTTGTCCTTCAATTTTATTTGGTTTTGAATTAATTACAAGCTTTTAAATATACATTTTTTAATTTTTTTCTCTTTTAAATTGCAAATCAATCTTTTTTAAATTCTAAAATATTTAATTTTTAACTTGGTGTGTCTTCCTTAATCTAAATTTTTTATTTAAAAAGGTAAGTTTTAAGAACAAGAATCTTTCAACAGTACATAGATAATCATGATAAAAATTAAAAGCACAAGTCATTTTCACACTACATTTTTATATTATTTTTTACACTTTTTTGGAAAACTAAAGATAGAATATGTGCGTATTGTAACGTGTGTTTTCTTTGCTTTATATCTGAGAAAGAAAATTGAAATGATGCAAGAATGATGTTACAGCAATTTTAAACGCAAAGTATATGTAAAATGAGTGAACCATTATCTCCACAAGATTGAGACTAGAAAAATAATATTTAAAATTGATAAATTATTATAATTTTTAATATTAGTAGTAGCAAAAGACAAATAAGAATAGTAATACAGTGTAATTCTTAGTTAAGCACCATTTACTATGGCTACTAAAATTATTATTTGACATTTGTCATTAAAAATAATTTTACATATGTCAAATAGTAGTTTAGGTTAAATTTAAACATTTAATCCCTGTAGTTTCACTTGATTTAGATTTTGATCCTTATATTTTTTATTTTTTGGATATTGGTACTTATATTTTCTGGTGAAGTTAAACTAACAGTAATATGCTTTCAGTTGTGGAGAGAGAAAAAAACTAACAGAAACGAAATATTCCATTAAGTGGACAAGCAGATGTTTGGAATATCAAAGTATGATTACATTATAGGTTTTATTAGTCTCCTTTCACATAAAATAGTTATCTTATGTTGTAGAGAGAAAATGAATGAGCTTCACTATTACAAGAAAAAAAAAGATAAGATGTGAAAATAATTGAGAAAATATGAGAAAAATTATCTTATACGAAAGAAAAGTAATATTACGAACAAAAGTTTGCTTTCTAACGTGGATGAAGAGGAACTACACATTCTAAAATCTAAACTATCCTAGTGAAAAGTTGGCTGCATTTGGGCTGATAAGCACTCCAGATTGGAAACCCTTGTAAAATACAGAAATATAATCTTGTATCTGGTGATGGCCATAAATATAATATAAAAAATATTAATGTGATTTTTATTTAATGCATGATATCAACATCGGAGGAAGTGCTCACAAATTTAGTTCTTACTGTCTTCTTCATTTTATTATAGATAAGTTGGCTATAGATAAATGGACTAGTACATTATCTATCCTTTAAACCTAAAAAACTCGTATATGAGTAAATTTGTTAAAAAATATAATACAAAAATTATTAATGTGACAATTAAATATATAGCCATTGCAGTATGGAAAGAGTAGAAGCTTAGGCGGGGGCAGTGAGAGAGATAGGCTCTGTTTGATAACTATTTTTTAAAAATAGTTTTTTATTTTTAGAACAAAAAAATCCGTTTTAGAAAGCATGTTTTGTAAAAAAGATAAATAAAAACTGTAACTTTTTTTTATTTTTAGAATCAAATTTAGACAACATGTCCAGATTGTTTTTGTTTTCTATTTTGATTTTTAACTTTCAAAACAAAACAAAAAGAAAATAAAAAAATCAGAACACAATCAAACAGGCCTATAGTTTCTCTTTGCAAGCCTACAGTTTCTCTTTGCAAGGTAGTAATACTTTCTCCTTTCTTTCTTTAGCCAAAAGGACAGGAAATTTTCTAAGCACTTCAATTTATATTTTGCTCAGTTTGCTACATTGATATGTGCCTGACACATGAAATATATAACAACCGTATTAGATAATCCTTGGTTTACAAGACAAAAATGTGCTCCGGGACCTATATTATGAAGGTTGCAAGAGTGATGACCCTGAAATATCTTCTTATAAACAATATGCTCAGTTCCTTTCCCTTGTACAACAATCATGACCCCTGAAATCACTCAAAGCATGAATACACTTCCATATTTTGATCAGTAAGATTAGATGGAGTAAATGCCAAGAATTTCACCATTGGAATTTGGCAGCAAGGAGAACTTCTTCATATTGCTGAGCAGCATTGTCCCAACTAAGATCTTGTGTCATCCCTCGTTGTTGAAGCCCTTCCCAACTCTTCTTATACTCCCTATAGGTCAATAAACAGTTCCCTAATGCATGTATTAACTTATGAGCTTCTGCACTATCAAATGTCCATCCAAGGCCTGACTCATCAAAAGGATTAAAAGGTTGCACTGTATCTCTAAGTCCACCAACAGCATGCACAACAGGAACTGTTCCATAGTTCATGGCATAGAGTTGATTCAATCCACATGGCTCAAATCTTGATGGCATTAGCAATATGTCTGAACCTGCAGTTATCCTGTGAGCCATTTTCACTGAAAAACCAACCCATCCTCTGATTTTGTCATGGTGTTGGCATTCAAATTGCCTAAGCATTTGTTCTAGATCAGGCCTTCCAGTTCCCAACATGATTAGTTGCACATCTTGCCCCATCATCCAAGGAATTGCTTCAGCTATGAGATCAACACCTTTCTGTTGATCCAACCTTCCAATGAAAGCAATTAATGGAACATCTTCACGGATAGGCAAACCAAGCTCCTTTTGCAAGGCTTGTTTACATTGACTCTTACCACTTTGCATGGTCTCAAGGGTGTAGTTAGTGTAGCCATCTGATTTCAAGTGAACATCAAACTGGGGGCTCCAATCTTTGGTATCAATGCCATTCACAATACCCCTGAATTTCCAGTCATTCTCGCTTATGATCCCATGCAAACCCCACCCACCTTCAGAAGTTTTAAGCTCCCATGCATATCCGTGACTAACCGTGACAATCCGGTCTGCGGCCTTTAAACCAGCTGCAAATATATTGAAGTGGTCACCTCCAATGGGGTCATATAATTTGAAAAGGTCTATGTAGTGTTCAGGTAAATCCACATAGTTGAAATCATCAACTGGGCCCCGACCCTGTATAGAAAGTAAGTGTGTGAATGTTCATTCTCTATGTAAGAAAGTATGCAATATAAACTCCACTTGGCTTCTACTTACAGTTTCATTCAAAGATAAAAGAATTGAATTTAGATACAACTCACAAGCAATGCAAACTGGATTCATCTAATAAGAAAACCTGTTCTTGATTCCTTACTAAATTTCATTTGCTTTCTGAAAAGAAATATGCACATTTCACAGCAAATTTTATTGAGCCTTTTTCATTATCATTATCTTCTATGGGTTTCAGAAAGCTACTCTAGTACCAGAATCTTTTATCACCAGCAGGATACTGATACCATGGTGTTTTAAACTAGTGTAAACTTGAAATTAATCATCTTAATTTGAATCACAGAATATTTAAACTATTTGAGGTTGAAGTGCAAATACAGGAACATAGATGAACTATCCAGAACAGTTATAGAGAGACATAAGAAGGTACTTATCTGAAGGCCTATATCCTTTCACTCATTTTCTTTTTTCATTTAAAACAAGCGAACCAGATGCGCTGAATAAAAAAATATATGTAGCAGCTTCTTTCTTCACTGTACAGAAAAATGAATTAACTATACTAAAATCGTTGTATCTAGATAAGGAATGAACCTGGTGAGCTATGTTATGAATCACAAGAACGGATCTTGTAAACGTCATCAAACCATTGTCGCGATAATATGCTTTCAGATACACAGGCAGCAATGCAGTATGCCAATCATTTGCTATGAATACCAAATTTCCATCTCCATAGCAAACACCACCACATGGAACATGCCAAGGAACCTGAAAAACATTACCATTTAATCCTTATTTATACTAATACTATCCTAATTGTATAAGAAAACAAATCATGATATATAAGAAAATATGAAAATCAATTTTAAGATATTATCTAAAATACTTTTAAGATATTCTGAAGTACAATAACGATAACATGACACATTTCCTAATATTCTAACATTCATATCGAAAGTAGATAAATATAACGATTTAATAAAGAACACATCTGCCAGAAAAATATGTTATTTGAGAAAAATCCTATCGATATGCTTTTCAAAATGCATCCTACTTCACAGGCCTCATCATTTCCTTGTGGTAAGAATTCACAGCATTTGCTTGAGGACCCAGGGTTAAGTAATTCTAAAGGTACGTCTTATATTTGCATATTTTCCGTCGATTATACTGCAACACATGAAAACTTACATAAAAATGATTATAAGAGATAACATTAAGAGAAATTCAAAGCATTAGTCTGTAACGCATGAAGATGGAGATGCCACATGTTGTCAATATTGGAAGCTTGGTATGACAAGTACGAACCTAGACCTTACGCCAGTCACATTTCCTTGACGAACAAATTTACTACCAACCATTCACTATTTTCACCATTTTTGCCCAATGTAATGCAGACTAATCCTTTACTACTAGTTATTTATTATTTTCACCATTTTTGCCCAATGTATTTCAAGTTGCCTGAAATATTTACAGTCCACAATCTGGTATACAGATATGTTTGCTTTCAAATTTTCAAAACAAAATACATAGCATATATATTCTGCTAAAAGACTCTTCAGGTACACAATTTTCATAACTGAGTATCCCATAATTCATTAGTAACAAAACCATTTAGTTCATGTACCTCAGCAGCTGCTTTGCAAAACAGCACCATGCGTTTCAGAATATCCTGTTTCATTAAAGGACATGCATGAGTTAAAATACTAAGAAACAGTAAGAGCGGACGACTAGTTACATTACACGTAACTGAGCAGTCTTGCATATGTACCAATGCAAGATGAGTTTCCAGGATACCTTAAATCAAAAGAGCACAGCATTTTGGTCATTCCTCTCATAATCATTTTACTAATAGAGGATATTAGCATAGTTGTACTAGTGATACTGATTAGTTGTAGTAGGGTATACTGTAAATGTCACAGCAGATTATTTCTCTATAAGTTTGTTGGTTTGTTACATAATTTGTTAGACTTGCTGAGTCATCAATGTATTAGCCTCAGCCCTATATATAGAGCTGAGCGTATTGTACAAATCAATCAATCATTCACTTCTCAATATTAATTACAAATGTTCATCTCTCTGATCTCTCTACTTCTCACTTCTCTCTACCTTTTCTCTCATCTCTTCTATGGAGGAATTCTCATAGAGGAAACCAACAATTCACAAAATAGGACAGTTCTGTCTTTTTTTCCCCCTTGAAAAGGAGCTGAGTAATGTTACATTTTATGACAATGGAAGTACTTAATGGCAATCCTCAACTCAACACAAATAGACTATTACCACTCGGTTTCCACCATAGATGTTATGCTGTAAATGGCGAAATATGGGACTCTCAATAAAAACGAAGTCGACACCATCAATATAAGCCTGGAAATACATTACTTCCATGTCCTGTAAAGTGAAAATGTTGGAGAGTTACAACACCAAGGTAGTAGCAATTCAACTGATTCAACCAATTATAATTGATTAAGAATAGAGTGGCTGCTGCACACCTGACCATCTACTTTGTACCTTTTCCGTACTCCTGTATCTTGTGGTTCAGCATAATTACCATACCGAGGCACCACAACCTAAGAACAGAATGAAAAGAAATAAATCAGATAATGGAAGCACTAGTAAAAAAAGCAACTTGAAAATTCATTTAATTATCTAATAATAATTTGATGAGCTGAGAAACAAGCTCTCATATCTTGATCCACATTTAGTATACAATATGGGATAGACTGACAAAAAATCAACTTAATTGGAAGCTCAGATACATTCCAAAACCACAGTCTAGACCATGCGAGTCATCAGAATCATATCTTACATTTTTGTGGGAAGTTACAAAACTAAAGACTAAGAACAGCACTTGGAAGAGCTTGTTGTAAATATTAGGTCTTTTATTATTATTAGTATTTGTTGTATTGGGCCAAGCCCATTAGGTCAAGAATTAGGGTTTTTGGTCTCTATAAATAGAGACCTCTTTGTATCATATTATTTCACAATTCTAAAATATATCAGAATACCCTTTTTCAAGTTGGTATCAGAGCTCTCGATCCAGAGGGCTCTGCTTCCGCGCCTACGAAACCTTTCTATTCTTTTTCACGTCTCTCGCTGCCATCAGCCGCCACCGGAAATTTTTTTTCCGGGGACCTCTTGGACCGAGAAGACCATTGCTTCACTGTTCCTCTTTCTTTTTCTTGTCCATTACACAACCAGAAACAAACGTTCACAGAATCAACGTACAGAACCACCGTACAGAACCTGTTCATCGCGATTGTAACCTTTTTCCGGTGGATTCTTCACTCCGAACAGCCACAGAAACCATCGCGCTCGCCGGACGACCTTCGCCTGAAAAACCCAGCACCATCGGAGGTCAGACGCGCCTCCACGCGCCGCCCTTGTCTCTGCGCGTGAATCCCACGCGCCGCCAGCTTCACCGGCACGTGACAGCGCGTGACGGTGGTTCTCGGCCGCGGACCACCACGGTTCTGATCGTCTCTCCAAGCCGGTTCTGGATCTGTGTTCTCTACTTTGATCGGACATCGTTTGGTATTTTTTTTCAGAATTTCTTGGCTTCTTGGAGCTTTTCTTTGACCATTTGCTGTGCAGTATGGCCTCTTCTCAAAGGAGTTCTTTTTCAAAATTTTATGATGGTACCTCTTCTAGACCTAAGAGAAATGATCGATGGTGTTCTTATTGTAAAAAAACAGGTCATATCAAGGATTTATGCTTTCGCCTTTATGGAAAGCAAACTGTCTTAGAAAAGATGGCAAGGATGCGTGGTCAAGCGCATTTTACTTCTTCTGAAATAACCCCTGCCCCTAATGAGACCCAATCTGCATTTCGTCCAGATGAGTTGGAACGACTCCGAACCATTCTTGATTATCTGAGTAAGCCATCTGATACTAGTGCTTTGGCTATGACTGGTATGAGCTCCAAAACTCATTCTTTCATTTCTTCATGTAATGATTTTAAACATTCTTGGGTTGTTGATTCTGGTGCTACTGATCATATGGCTTGTTGTGCTGACTCCTTTATTTCTTATCATCCTACCATTGGAACTCATACAATATCCATAGCTGATGGCTCACATACATCAGTTGCGGGTTCTGGTGACATAAACTTACAGCAGTCCTTACATCTTAAGGATGTTCTTCATGTTCCTAAACTCTCCACGAATCTTCTTTCTATTCACAAAATTACAAAAGATTTGAATTGTACTGTAACCTTCTTCCCTACCCATTGTGTTTTTCAGGATCTCGCAACAGGTAAGACGATTGGTAGTGCTAAAGAGCAAGGTGGGCTGTACTATCTGGTGTCACAATCTTCCGTATCTCTGGTGTATTTGATGTATCAGTCATAGGAGGATCAGTCACAGGAGGATCAGACATAGACACATTAGGAACAGGAACAAGAGGAAGAGACACTGACACAGGTGAAGAAGTAGACACTGAAGATTCAAAGAAGGAAGGTGATGAGTCTTCTGGTGAATTATTCTCCCCCTGAAGATGAGGACCTTGGAAAAAGGACTCAGATTCCTGAAATGTAACATCCATAGAAACAAAAAAAATTCGACTTCCAGGGTGATAGCACATGTAGCCCTTCTTATCAGGAGCATAACCAAGGAAGACACATTTAAGAGCCCTAGGATCCAACTTACTGCGATGCTGTTTATGAATATGAACAAAGACAACACACCCAAACACTCGAGGAGGAAGACTTTGCAAAGTTGGAACAGAAGGAAAAATCGTCACCTTCTTGAAGTTGCTCGTGCCTTACTGTTTTTCAGGATCTCGCCACAGGGAAGACGATTGGTAGTGCTAAAGAGCAAGGTGGGCTGTACTATCTGGTGTCACAATCTCCCGCAAATAAAGTAATAGATCACACATTCATGTCTCATGGTCAATCAACTGCTGATTCTTTAATTTGGCTGCATCATAAGCGTTTAGGTCATCCTCCATTTAGTTTACTCAAATCTTTATTCCCGTCATTGTTTTTGTCTAAGTCTGTTGAGTCTTTTCATTGTGATGTTTGTGAATTTGCTAAGCATCATCGTGTGTCTTTTCCTTCTAGTATTACTAAGAGTGTTCAACCTTTTGATCTTATTCATTCTGATGTTTGGGGTCCTTCTAAGGTCCCTCATTCTTCTGGAAATAAATGGTTTGTTTCTTTTATTGATGATTACACTCGTGTCACTTGGGTTTACTTAATGCGTGAAAAGTCTGAGGTACCACAACTGTTCTTTCAATTTTATAAAATGATTGAGACTCAATTTTGTAAAAATATCAAAAGACTAAGGACAGATAATGGTACTGAATATGTCAATCACTCTTTTTCCCAATTTATACAAAATCAAGGTATGATTCATGAACTTACTTGTGTAGACACCCCTCAACAAAATGGGGTTGCTGAAAGGAAAAATCGTCACCTTCTTGAAGTTGCTCGTGCCTTACTGTTTCAAACACATGTACCCAAATGCTATTGGGGAGATGTCATTCTTACTGCAGCGTTCTTGATCAATCGTCTACCCACTCGGGTTCTCGATCATGTAAGTCCTATTCACTCCATGACTTCTTTTTTTCCTTCTGTTCCAACTTTGCAAAGTCTTCCTCCTCGAGTGTTTGGGTGTGTTGTCTTTGTTCATATTCATAAACAGCATCACAGTAAGTTGGATCCTAGGGCTCTTAAATGTGTCTTCCTTGGTTATGCTCCTGATAAGAAGGGCTACAAGTGCTATCACCCTGGAAGTCGGAAATTTTTTGTTTCTATGGATGTTACATTTCAGGAATCTGAGTCCTTTTTCCAAGGTCCTCATCTTCAGGGGGAGAATAATTCACCAGAAGACTCATCACCTTCCTTCTTTGAATCTTCAGTGTCTACTTCTTCACCTGTGTCAGTGTCTCTTCCTCTTGTTCCTGTTCCTAATGTGTCTATGTCTGATCCTCCTGTGACTGATCCTCCTATGACTGATACATCAAATACACCAGAGATACGGAAGATTGTGACACCTGAATTGGTATATCAAAAAAGGAAACAGCCCACATTGCCTCAACAGCAACCTCAATCGTCTGAACCACTGGTAAGTCCTGAATCTCATATTTCTGATCATGATGTTAATACGTCTGATGACTTACCCATTACTACTGTTTCTGATGACTTACCCATTACTACTGCTTCAGATGATTTACCCATTGCTTTAAGAAAAGGAAAAAGATCTTGTTCCAAGAAAACTTGTTCTTCCTGTCCCTCTTGTACTCAATACCCTATCTCCCATTTTGTTTCCTCTGCTAATCTTTCTGTGCAGCACAAAAGCTTTGTTTCAGCACTAGATTCTACTTCAATCCCAAAATCAGTACATGAAGCTTTGAAAGATGGGAATTGGGCTCAAGCCATGCAAGAGGAGATGAATGCGTTGGAGAAAAATAAAACATGGGAGGTTATTGATAGACCCAACGGAAAGAAAGCAGTAGGGTGCAGATGGGTTTATGCCCTGAAATATAATTCTGATGGCACTCTTGAGAGATACAAGGCTCGATTAGTCGCCAAAGGTTACACTCAAACCTATGGCATTGATTATGAAGAAACCTTTGCTCCAGTTGCAAAGATGAATACAGTGAGAATCTTGTTGTCCCTTACTGCCCATTACAATTGGGATATAAATCAATTTGATGTGAAAAATGTTTTTCTCAATGGTGAGTTAGAAGAAGAAGTCTACATGGAAATCCCGCCTGGTTTTGATTCTGTGAAGGGGGAAAATAAAGTTTGTCGATTAAAAAAGGCCTTGTATGGATTGAAACAGTCACCTCGTGCTTGGTTTGGAAGGTTTACTAAGGTTATGATGACCTTAGGATATAGACAGAGTCAAGGAGATCACACTCTTTTCTTCAAGCACTCCCAAAATGGGAAGCTTACTGTGCTCCTTGTATATGTTGATGATATTATTATCACAGGTGATGATTTTGTGGAGAGACAGATTCTGCAGACACGACTTGCCTCTGAGTTCGAAGTCAAAGACCTTGGGAAACTAAGATATTTCCTAGGGATAGAAGTAGCTCATTCAAGCAAAGGAATTTTTATCAGTCAGAGGAAATATGTTTTGGATCTTCTCAAATAAGCAGGGAAGCTCGGGTGTAAACCCTCTAATACTCCTATTGAGCAGAATCACAAGATAGGCTTTGAAGAGGAGAGTCCTCCAGTTGATAAAGGACAATATCAACGGCTAGTTGGAAAATTGATATATCTGGCCCATACTAGGCCAGACCTAGCTTACGCTGTTAGTGTTGTCAGTCAGTTTATGCACGATCCAAATGAGAAACACATGCAGGCAGTAGAGAGAATTCTTCAGTATCTTAAAGCTACTCCTGGTAAAGGATTGTTATTCCGACGTGATGGTAATCTCTCTTTAGAAGTCTACACTGATGCTGATTATGCTGGATCCGTGACTGACCGTCGTTCTACCACTGGTTATTGCATGTTTCTTTGCGGTAACTTGGTGACATGGAGAAGTAAGAAACAAGATGTGGTTGCCAGATCAAGTGCAGAAGCTGAATTTCGAGCTATGGCTCAAGGCATTTGTGAGTTACTGTGGCTGAAAATTGTACTTGATGATCTCAAAATAAAATGTGAGGGACCTATGAAGCTGCTATGTGATAATAAGTCCGCTATTTGTATAGCTCATAATCCAGTTCAACATGATCGGACTAAACATATTGAGGCCGACCGCCATTTCATCAAAGAGAAACTTGATAGCGGGTTGATTACCACTCCATACATTCCCACTGGGCGTCAATTAGCTGATCTATTGACAAAGGGACTTCCTTCAGATAGATTTCAAGAACTTACTAGCAAGCTGGGAATGATAAATATCTATTCCTCAGCTTGAGGGGGAGTGTTGTAAATATTAGGTCTTTTATTATTATTAGTATTTGTTGTATTGGGCCAAGCCCATTAGGTCAAGAATTAGGGTTTTTGGTCTCTATAAATAGAGACCTCTTTGTATCATATTATTTCACAATTCTAAAATATATCAGAATACCCTTTTTCAAGTGAGCTGAACCCACTAAACTCAAAAATAATTTTCAATAACTCACCATGAATCAGGATAAATTATGTCCTCTACGAAGACACTGCATTTTTGGTAAGACATAATTAGCGGCTTGTAGAAGTAAAGAGTTGGTTGTAATCTCCACTTCAGTCATTAGACATATTGATCTGCTTACAGTTATTAATTATATTAATAATATTCCAAGGTATGCTGTGAACTTGATGAATTTGTAAATGGTGCCTCTATTCTTAGTGTTTTGAAGCTTTTTCTGGTTTGATGATCAATTTGGCTAAGAACGGTTTGGCACGATAATCTTTTTCTCTCTTATGCTTTTCTGGTCAATTACAAAGTCTTCCAATGGCCTATTTTGCTTATTTGAGACTAATCTAGAGTGCTAACCCTTGGGCTTCTTTTTGGGATCATGTTTTTCAAATTTCAAAAGATCTCAAAGTCTATGGATAATTAGAAAGGTGCTCACTACTCAGGGGGTGGATGGGTCAGTCATATTCAAGCTTGCCTAGCAGGAATTCCCATACACTATCTCCCAGTACTTCGAACTCCATTTGCGCTGGCTAAGGGAATAGAAAAGATTATGAGGAGCTTTTTTCGGTTGGGTGTGGATGATTAGAGAAGATGTCATCATGTCAGTTGGGAGATTTGCTACAGCCTGCAGAGCAGGCCTAAAGACAGTTTGGGTGCCACGAATTTGGTCTCCAAGAATATTGTTTTGGCTACTAAATGGTTATGGAACTTACCACTAGAGCCCATCCCAAATTAAGTTGAGGTGCACCTAAAAGAAAGCAAGCAACCCGAAGCCCTAAACCATAAGGTCTAGAATTTGCCAAAATTAGTGCTGTAGTCTCTTTTTGAACCACTATTCCTTTGATATTATGCATCTCTCCACCTCCAGATGAAATAAAATTGAAAATCACCCTTCTAAATTCTAATATGTATGGAAGATTTAATAACCAAAGAAGGAATAAAAGATCAAGACCTAATCAAAGAAGGAAGAACACATTTCAACACCCAGTTGAAAAGATTGTGTTCAGGTGGTTTTTAGTTAAGCAAGGAGTAAAAGAGTAAGTTCTTTTCCAACACATGTGATACTCTGTCAGTTCATCAAGGGGATAACATGTTACCATAACCCTATGTCCACGCCGAGCCAAAGCCTTCGGTAATGATCCAGCAACATCTCCAAGCCCACCTATCAGTTCAGGTATGAGTCTGTAAATTACATAAAAACAAAGCAGCATGCATAGAAGGACAATCAAATATTGTAGAGTCGGTCTGACAAAGAGGAAAAGAAGGAGAGTTCTATTGGCTTGGTTCATGTAAGTAGTTGCATCACATGAATGCTTATGATTGGTTATATATGCCACATAAGGGTGCTAACTTGTTAGTGTTATAATTCAAGAACAAGGCTAGCAATGACAGATATATAAATTCAAAAGAAAATCTTGAAAATCATTTTGTTTTTGTTTTTTCTGTTCTTTTATTCAAATTTCCAAACAAGCCTGTGAAAAGTGAGCGGTTACACTAGATTATATTGAAGCTATGATTATTTTTTTTCTTCTTTATATGCCTCCTTTGGCAATTGAGATACAAGTTACCAAAATTGGTATAAGCATGGTAAGGTATTTTCCCAAAGAAAATTTATTTTAAATAGTGAATCCCCAGGATGGTGAACTGATTGCCTGCAAAATTAGCTAATTGTCAAATTTCAACTATATTCATGGGCTTACTTGGTGTAACTATTGTCTATTTGAGTACATTCTATCAACAATGCCAATCCGGGTTTGTAATAGGGGAGCTCAGCAACATAGGGAAAACCTTTCATAGAAATAACGTTAAATTACCTGTTTTTGACCAGGGAGTACATTCTGTAGCAACTAATATAATATTGATGATATTGACCCCAGCTAACGGTGGGGATTTGTCACCTTCACTCTCAACATTGTCAACTTCATCAGTGACCTCCTTTAAACTTGATTCTCTCACACCTTCCAGATTTCCAACCTTTACACTAGAAGTTTCATTGCTATTTGCAAGGTAGTTTGGCAAAGTATCAGGCATTATTGGCTCATATCTCTTGTATTTCAATTGTTCATTGAAATATAGCTTAGATGAAGCCGCTTCAGCAGGTGAGAAATTATCATCTTCCTCCTCACCTTCATCTAAACCTCGATCAATGCCTGCAGATGAGACATCTAGTATCTCCTCTTCATTAGAATCGACATAATTCCTCAGAACAATGTTACTATTTTGATTTTCCACAGCATCGCGACCACTGACAGAATCTTTCTGTGGATTCGAGTCACTTGACAGAGATTTGTCACTGCGTTCATAAGAAATCATGTTCCCTTCTGATTCAGGAATGCTGTCACTATTTATAGAAGAAATTAGTTTCTTTCTTTCAGCAATCTGCAAAGGATAATAAAGCAAAAATAAGATCACCACATGAATGCTTATAATAACGTTTAGAAAGAAGAAAGCATATAAGAAGAGACCAAATGAAGTATGCCGACACAGTAATGTAATTATAACTTGTATAATCTTCTCAACTTTCATAATGAAGAAACTCTAGAACTTCATATCTCTAGAACCCATCCATAAGTCCCTCACTATGACCATATAATTAAGTACAGGACAGTGGTTTATATATGAATGGTTTAATTATGTACCCTTAACGTCCGAGGAAATCATTTCCCGATAGCTTACTCACCCACATGTTCTCATATAGCACATTTTATGAGAATTGGATTTTGTTAAATTCATTACCAGACTCTGTTTTCAGAAACATGCTCACCGGCAACATAGGACATCAGTGTAACATATTAGTCTAGCAAATACATATAAAGGTGCAACTGTTATAACACTACCTCAGTTATTTACTCATTTTCTAAATTAACATTTACTAAATCTGTTAGAAATATAATATAAAATATAAAATCATTCATCTGCCTTCACCAACAACTTAAGTGTTACATAAGTTTTTGATATTTATGGCAATTTCCTCAGAAAAGAATGAATAACCAGCTTATAAGACTATGGTAGTACTAAAGACTCGATACATCACTTATTGAATTTGGAAAAAAGTAACCCATTAAACAACATTTATTTTACCCCTCTTTTATGGTTAATGCTATATAAGTCCCACTTTTTTTTACTTTAAGTAAAGGAGTACCTACTACGAGAGCACCGAAGATATGCTCTCGATTCAAATAACAAAGTCTCATTTAGATCATCTCTTTAATATTCAGCATCCCAATTAAGTCACTTTTAGAAGTGAATCTCTTATACTCAGTAGTACTATCATCCTCTACCTACTAAAAAAAATCATCCTCCATTGACTGGTAAGGGTTATTAAGATAAACATTGCAGAAACAAAGCACAAGAACTATCAACATCAACATCACCTTTATCCCAAATTAATTGGGGTCGGTAGTAGATGAACCCAAATAAAAGATACGAAAAGTTTGGAAAAAGATAAAAAATAAAAAATACAAATACAAATAAAAAAAAAAATAAATAAATAAAATAGTAATAATATATATATATATATATATATATATATATATAAAGAAATAAAAGAAGGTGAAAAGAAGAAGAGGGGGAAATGAAGAGGAAAAGGACTAAAAAGGGATCATCTGGAACATAGGAATAACAACAGGTCTAACCCTCCACCATGCTTATAGCTTTTCTCCATTCCGTTCTAAGGCACACCGTCCGTCAATTTATATCCCACTCCATACGTGGTTTGGGCACGTAATGAGAAGGCCCCTGGATGCTTCGTAAAAACAAAAGTTATTATCATGAATTTCAGATTTTTACTTCAAAAAAATGACTGGAAAAGCCTCACATTCTATTTGGTCATTCAGTTAATTTTGAGATATCTTCTCTAATATAGTAATCACATCTTTCTTTATAACTCCTAACCAATCATTCTTAATTCCTTGGCACTTCACTGTAGAAATGATAACCGCAGGACCTCACAACTAGACAGAGTCAAATAGTAATTTCAATGAACAGATATTCCCGTAAGGATCTCATAAACCACATTCTACAATGTAAGTTTACATTCAGTTTGAAAAGCTTGAATAGATCAAGAAAACAGCCAACAACATTAACTACATAGAAAAATCTAAAAAAGTTGCCATTGCTTTTTACAAGTAAAGCAATGGCTTATAACTATACTTATCCTTTAATTTCCAAAAGGATGATAAAAGATTATCTCTTTACTTTTAATAAAGTCTTCATTTTCCAATTTCAACTAATCAATCAAAGAACAAAAAATATAATTTAAATCAAAAAAAAAATGTGGGTCTCAACCTAAAACCTATTAGGACGGCTCAAGATCAAAATTTGTACCCTTTGTAAAACATATTCTAAAATACCTGTTGAAGAAGTTCCCTTTGCAAAGCAAGAACCTTTTTGCTCTTTTCAATGGTGGCCTGAAGCATTTCCTCTGACTCATCCTTATCCTCACTTTTCCCAAAACTCTTACCTATAGCTCTTATACGCTTATTCCCCCATAGGCACAGCAAACCCTTCCTACACCTATGGTTCAATCTACCACGATCCAATCCCCTAGTTCCTGAATGCTCAAATAGTGAAGCACTTACAGTGCTAAATTTTGGTGAAAATTTGAAAGAACGAGTGTGAAGCAGTAGCAAAGTATTGTCAGCATTTGTTTCCATAAGAAATGGTAAAGAACCCATTGATGCCATCATCAATGGATCAACAAAAAATAGTAACTTTGATGAAAAAGAGGAAGACCCAGATTGTTAAAGGGAGTGATGAACAAGGCCCAAGTGGAGATTTTGCAATTGTGAATAAAAGTTGAGGGCTTTCTTTGGAACTGAAAATGGAAAAAGCGTGGAATGGAAAAATGGAGGACAGAGAATAAATAGTGCAACACACAAAGATAGAGAGAGTAATTGAAAATGGAGATTTTGGATGAGAATTTCAGATGACCACAAATATGTCACAGAATTGGGTCCCATTGTGAATATTTTGAAGCGGTGAGAGCCACGAACCTACCACCGAATTAAAAACGTGGTACTTTACGAACATCTTCTACAGTTAGTTTACCCTTGGGTACTAACTTCGGATTCAACTTAACTGTAAAACTTTCTTCTTCTTCTTCTTTCTTCTTTTTTTTTTTTTCTTCTTTTTTTGTCTGCAGGCTTGCGTGTTAAACGAGTAGGATTAAGAAATATATTATACGGGACACGATCCGTTTACAAACTTTTTTTACAATTATACTAATGTAGGATCGATCGTACACTGTGTGATTAATGTAGGACCGGTTCTACATAGTGTACAAAAAAGTTTATAAATATAACATGCCCCATATTATATTTGAAAAAACCATTTGTCCTTTTGAAAATGTAATATTATTATTTTTCGTTGTTAATAGTTTATTGGGACAAATTTACACTTATAATTTATTGGGTCAAACTTATTAATATATTATAATTGTTGATTGACGAAAATCAACAGTTAAAATCTAAAATGACATATCGTTATATCTTTTAAAACAAAAATGATTTTTCCGCTTATATTTATAGGATTTGGAAATTTATCTCGTATCTGCAGTGTATTAAAACTTCGCCCCACCCCAGGGTCAATCCCGCAAGGTCAGTGACCCTCTCTAGGGTTGGCAAACCGGACCAACTCGGCCCGGCCCGACCCAACCTGCATTTAACCCGAAAAAAACTAGCCGAGTTAGGGTTGGCCCGAAAAAAAAATGAGCCAGAAAACCCAACTCAACCCAACCCGAGTCAGGTTAGGGTTGGCTCAAAAATATGGCTCGTGGGTTTTCTCAAAAATTGCTGGCGGGTTGGCTCGTTTTCAACCTATTTAAATGACCTTGTAAAATTAATGCACCAGCTATGTGGCTTCCATCAGCTTAAACAAAGGGTTACAAAATGAGAATAAAAAGAAAAATATTTTAGTTTCGAATTTTCTTCACAATAAATTTGCATCGACATCAATAAACATTCAGAACCACTTACTACCAAGTGGGTAAGATATTTGAACCAAATAGAGCCAACACAGCCTAACAATATAAAAATGGCTGGAGTGTGAGAAGATTAGAGACTTAGGTTTAGAGAAGGAAAAAATGATGACAACATGTGTGGGTTTTGTCCAATTTTGTATATTATATTTTGTATTTAAAAAAAAAAATCTCAACTCGCGAGCTGGCTTGTTTGACCCGCGGGTTGGCTCATTTTTTCACGAGCTGGTTTGGGTTGGGTTGGGTTGGCTCGGGTTAGCAGCTCATTTTTGCCAACCTAACTCGGCTCATTTTTTGCGGGTTGGTTCGTTTTTGCCAACCCTAACCCTCTCTCTAAGGATTGGGGTCAGCAGTTAGGCCCTGCATATATGTTGACCCATTTTATCCTCGAAATCTCCCAGTTGAACCCGTGACTTGCTGCTACCTAGATCTAGAACTAGATCTGAAATCTGAATCATTCTTCTTCTTTTCTTTGGTCTTCTCTCTCCCTTTTCCTTCGTCATGTTGGTTCTTTTCTCCCCACCATTGATTCGTCGCGCCGCCTCCTCTCATCCACTGTTCTCTCTTGGGTAAAGAATCTTCTTTCACTTGCTGTTGTAGGCGTGTGAGAAGACAAGGAGGGTCTGAGTTTGATGATATAACTTTCATTATCTCCATTGGGATATGTGATTTATACTTTGATATTTTGATTAGCTTATGTAATATTAACTTAACTTGTTGATGTAATTGGTTGATTTATTTTAAGTATATTTTGAATCGATTGCTAGTTTGATTTTTTTGAAATTTCATGTAGGATATATATTTATATTTTTTTAATGAATAAACCAAGTTAGCGAAGTGACCCCGGTTGATACCCTGAACTCGGCCGAGTCAATGGCCGGGTAGAGTTTTTAAACACGGCCTATAAGGAAATATTTATGGGACAACCGTCGAATACTGCAGTGTGTGCGACGCTCCAGTAAAAGTGGAGCAATAATTGTGATTTCTATACAGAGGAGAGAATAAAATATTTTTTTAGTCCAAGTGTCACTTTCGGAATCGCAGACGCACGTACGATGGTTGTATAGAAAATGATCTCCTCCTACACACATAACAGTGTAAAGGACCCATGTGAGGAGAAGAGAAAGAAAGAAAAATTATAAGTTTTAAACATTTTTATGTGTGTGTAAAAAATAAATTTATCTTTTACAATATAAGAAACTTTAAACTCATATTGATATAATATTTTATGAGATTAATGTTACTGAAGTAACAGAAGATAAAATTATCTGTTGCAATTCTAAAATCATATAGTTTTGAGGTTTGAAAAAATAATACAAGGTATTTTAGTAAAACTAAAGGTGAAAGCCAAATTTTAAAAATATCCTATATTTTTTTTAAATATCAAAATAATACCGTTTTGAGGATGATAGAAATATTTTATCTCTCATACTTTGTATTTTCATTTGCTTGATTTATATTATTAATTTTTTTATATTTAATGAATCTAATTTATTATATAGGTGAACGATTAGATATAAGAGAATTCATAAATAAAAGTCCATATAAAACTTTTTATAATTATATGACCTTTCCCAATTTATAAGGGTAATTAGTATAAAAAATATATAAGGGTAATTAGTTCAAGAGCTTAAACTGTTTCTTTTACGAATTTTTTTTAACTTTAAAATTTACGTATATTTTATTTGAAATCGAAATCACAAAATTAACGAAACGAAGAAATTCAACTAGCTAATCTAAAACAAAAATTGACTCTAAATGCATATTATTGGTAATTTAAAAGCAATAAATAAAGGTAAATAATAGTTTTATGTTGCATAAGAGCAATGTTATTAAAATTGACCCGGTCATTGACCCGGTCGAGGTACCGAGTTACTGGGTCACTGGTTCAACCGCATGACCCGATAATTATATGCAATTTTATAATTTATATTAAAAAATTATAAACATACTCAAATATCTAAAAAAAATAAATAAAAATTTCAAATATTTTAATACAAAAACTAATAAATCACATATTATTATCAAATAAAAAATCAAACAAAAATATAATGATCGTGATACGAGGCTTTAGGTTCATAAAACGACATCTCAAACTATAAATTAATTCAAATTTTTATGTATAGTACATAATTGAGATAATATTAGTGTTGTAGGTACATAACTTATGTAAGTCAATAAGCAAAAAAATATTCAAATATGACTATTATGATTTTTTTTTTTAAAAATAAAAATTTGGAATTTTTTTTTGGACCGGGCCGAGTCACCGGTTAACCTACCGGGTCACCGGTTTTTATGAAAATCGGCCGGGTCGCACCGGTTCTGATGCATGACCGGTCCATTGCTTCAACCGAACCGGTTATAAGACCGGTTTACCGGTTCCCGGGTCGACCTGGCCGGGTCGGTCCGATTTTAATAACTATGCATAAGAGAGTTATTTTATATCATACACTCATAGAATTTCATGTCAATTTTTTCTTTTCTTTATACATTGTGAACCCCACATATTTATGTCACCCACATAAGAGTATTATCTCATGTAACATGAGATTAGTAACTCTATAAATAAATTCATAAATAAATTAATAGACTAACAAGTCAAGGCTCTTTGATCCATTTGGGGTTTTTATCCCATTAATTTTTTAATTTGGTATTTGATTTACAGTATTTGTCAACGGTGGTCATTGAGTGACGCAAGAGAGACCCAACAGCACTGAGTGTCGCGATCCTCCTCACACATCACTCACACATATTTTTTTCAATTGAGTGATGCCCCCTTCTCCCTTGGGGCACTCATAGGATTGTGCCAAGTGAAACAATCTCGTTAGTCCTGTTACCGTAAAACTTCGGAAGGTCATAACTTTTGACTCGAGTATCCAAATCAGATTTTTTTTATTTCACATAACTTTTCGAGATTTACGCAATAACACCTCATTTGGCATATTTTATCTCTCACAAACATAGTTCGAATTTGTAAAAATGTGAAACTATTGTTTCAAATTTGAACTATGTTAATGGAAGATAAAATATATCAAATGAGGTGTCATTGCGTAGATCTCGAAAAGTTATGTGAAATCAAAAAAAAAATCATCTGATTTGAATACGTGAGTTAAAAATTATGATTTTCCGAAATTTTACGGTAACTGGACTAACGACATTGTGCCACTTGACACAATCCTATGAGTGCCCCAAGGGAGAAGGACGTCACTCAATAGAAAAAAAAAAGAATATGTAAGTGATGCGGGAGGAGGGTCACGACACTCAGTGACGTTGGGTTCCCCTTGCCGTTGACAAGTAAAGAAAATACAATCCTAAATTGATACATTAAAATCTAAAAAAAAAAAAAAACAATGGATCAAAGAGCAAGTATCATATTCTTGTATGTTGTGCTTAGCATATTTTGAGAAGGGAAAAAAAGACATTTATTACTCATGCTTAAATTATCCTAATCCATATATTCTATATAAGTTCAATCCGTATAGAATATATGCTGAGCTACCAATGGACAATATCTGCTGCCATCTTTCTTCAGCCCTCGATCCATCTCTCTTAACGCTTCTGAAATTTTGCAATGGATGCTAAAAGCAATAATAACAAGGCATAAGATACACACCAATGTCAAAAATTATGCACTCAGCAGATTCGTTATAGAAATATATACATATTGAATGGTAGGTTTTTTTATTCAAGTTCAAGTACTCTCGACCACATATGACTCGAGATTTTTGGTTAAGGTAACAAGTTGTTTGACTCTTCAACTAATAATTTGTTGGTTTCATAGCTTGGAACACAATGATTGATGCATAGGGAGGGAGATATATTAAAAATCTGATATAAGAGGAGATCAGCCCAGACCAAGAAGAGTAGTTGGGGCCCCTGCGTGGGCCAAGGAT